TTACGTGGCTGAGTTGACTTTAAAAGAGTGTCGAATCTAGTTATGATAAACGAGCTTTCATGGTGGTTGAATTTAATTCCACTCCCAGAAAACAAATGTCTGGGCCGGGAAAATCGAGCTTCCTTCCAATTTATGGCGAAGCCCAGATTTAACAGGTGTGATGTCAACACCTGATCCTGCATCAGCGCCTCCTGTCTGAAGTGACAGGAGCAGCAGATCATCCAGGTAAAACAAAAACTCTCGTCTCTGTGTTAGGATGATCGGTATGCGTTCTCTGGATGTAAACAACAGATCCAAAAAACGGTCTCACCTCTCCGATCCGTGAGTAAAAACCTTGTGTTTTCTCTCCGTTGGGGGACTCTGTAGATTACTTTTATCAGAAAACACTTGGATTTCTGCATTTAGGGATGAGAATCAGTCTGATGATGACGGGACCGTTTTTTTTATAACTCCTCTGAATGGAGGGGTTCGGGTTGCAAACTGTAGCTTGTACCATTTGCATAAAACCTTGTCCATCCATCTGAAAAACGGCGAGCATGTTTTAGCCACTCTACGTAACGTTCGTAGGGTGAACATGCGTTAAGTGATGTGTCATGTTTTGTACGGCTGTCAGCAGTCCGCCCCTCAACCGCCGTCATGCGTCGCGGGAATGTTTTCTGTTTGATCCCGGGCGAGACTTGAGCTGAAGGCGAAGCGTGTGACAGCTGATGACGCGGTGGGGCTGCGCGTTTGACGTCGCTGTGCGAACGTTGAAAAGGCGGAGGGCGTGACTTCATTTACGCCGTGCTGTTGGAGTGAAGGCTGCTAGCCCCGCGGGAGCACACGTTGTTCTCTGGAGGGACGCGCGCCGCTCTCGCTGGAGGGGCGCGCGCTGGAGGGAGGCGGGACTCATTACCGGGTTCTTCAGCTGCTTCACGTTTAAGCTGCGGTGAGCTGCCGAAAGCTGAGACGCGGTGGGTGACGGCTGCCCGCGTTGATTCGTCGAGACGGGTGTCGTTTCTTGTGAGAGAGAAGGACCTCCACCCGAACCAGCCTGCGGACCACATTTATACCGATGTGAGCTGGTTAGCGCCGGCAGCTGTGTGTGCGCCAGCATCAACGCAGCGCCGTTGGATGGAGGCTGTTCATTTTAGTGATCGACTCGTCATGTCTAGAGCGGCGGTGAGTTAAAACCCTATTTAAGGACACCGGCTCATGTGGAGGCTGTTCCATCCCACGAGTGCGAGTTGACACCGCTTGAGTGAGGATTGTGCAGTTCTAGTTGGTAACAAGTTATTTTCGCTTACCGTTGTGCCGTGATCGACTCGTCATGTCTAGAACGACGGTGAGTTAAAAAACCTTTAATTAAGGACACCGGCTCATGTGTGGAGGCTGTTCTGTGATCGACTCGTCATGTCTTAGAGCGACGGTGAGTTTAAAAACCTTTATTTAAGGACACCGGCTCGTGTGTGGGGCTGTTTCATCCCACGAGTGCGAGTTGACATCGCTTGAGTGAAAATCGTGCAGCTCGGGATCATAACGAGTTATTTAACTTACCATCGTGCCCTGTAAGCGACTAGTAATGTCTTGGAGCGGCGGTGAGTTTAAAAAGCCTTATTAAGGACACCGGCTCTTATGTGTGCGGCCGCTGTGAGCTCATCCGGGCTTATAGACTGGCTAAAAAACAGACACTTTGATCATTAATGATGATTTATTTCAACTTTCGTGTCACTTTTACACACACCCTCCGGAGACCGTCATTTGAGAAACTTCTCTCTCATGAGCTCTGCGATTGTTTGCCCAGAGCGCTGTCTTGCAGGCGAACTCTGGGGAAAACGCTGAGCTGCAGGTTGCCGGAGTGAAGAGGGCTGGATTCTGACGGGCGGGGCTGGTGGTGGAACTCAGCGAGAGCCGCGGCCGTGGAAAAGTCGAAGCTTGCTCGCGACGGTCCCTCCAGCGGGGACGGGGTGGGCCGCGCGGCTTGATGAGGTGGCGCACAGCTTCTGGCACCTCCTCCGACTGTTTCACTTCGCCAGCATGGTTTGAAGCTGCTCTGAACAGCGCGTCCGCGATGGCTTCATCAGGTCTTGTGCAGATTCTCCGGCAGCAAGGGGAGTAACGAAGCCAGGTGGGTCGATGGATCATCGTCATCCGCGCTACAGTCCTCGACAGGCAAACTGTGGGAGAGGCACACATGTTGAGCTGGCGTCAGCTGCCTTACAGAGGGAGTTCTTCGTCTCCAAGGCAGGTCTGCGGCCTTCAGTCCCTTGGACATGCTATTTGCTAGCAGCGCACGTTGTTGCTAGCTGCGGCTGCCTGAAAACACGTCGGTGGGCTCGATTGGAGAGCGTGGTCGCCGTCTGGTTCCTTCGGAGGGACGGGACGCTGCTCCGACCTGGGCAGCTTCGCTCCGGAAGCTTCCGCGAGGCTTGGCTCCAGGGGGGGGTTACCGAGGAATAGCCCCGCTCGGTGAATCCCTCAACTCTGGTGATGGGAGCGGACTGGGGACCGACTCCTCTAATCTACCAGGAAAGAACCGTCTGCGGCCTCGCCCGTCGAACGTCCTGTTGGAACGTGAGGCCGTATGGATCAAGACGGTGAGCCACAGTGGAGCCCAGTGAAAAACAACCTTTCCGCCGATCATCGGAACTGGCGGGAAAAGGCGAGGGACGTAGAAAAAAGGGGTCCCTTCATGTCAGCCTCCTCCCGGGTTCCGCCGGGCAACCCCTGAGGGCGCTGTCGGCCGGGAGCGGTGTGATCGCCGATGCGAAACGAGGTGGGATGGGGTGAGCATTCACTCAGCCCCCCTCCACCTACACTACGCTCCCCAGGAGGGAATGAGCAGCGGGGGCTGCAGCTGAGCACGCCTTGCCCCGGAGGAACCATCCGGTTCGCCCCGAGGGTCGGCGATAAGAGGAAAAAACACAAGATGGCGTTGTCCAGCGTGTAGTGACCTGTCACTGGGAAATGTTCCCCGACGCTTACCTTGGAATAAGACTGCTCGTCATCTTCTCCTCGGGGAGGAGAGCTCACCGGACGACCGGAGGACGACTGCCGGGCCAAGCATCCTTCACAAAGGTTGGTCATTTACACAATTTATCTTCTTTGTTCTTCTGACAGTGCTATATTAGCTCGCTGAAGAAAAAATGGGAGCCGACTTCCCGCTCTTAACGTAATTTATACGGACCGGGTGGGGCCCACACAGCAGGTGGGCGTGGACTAATTTTTTCAGTGCTTATGCTCTGCATAACGGGATAAACCCACTAAAGCGAAGGCCTTAAAGGGCGAAGCTTATACGACATAGAACTCTGTTTTATCACTGTTTATTTTAAGGAAGTTAGATGTAAACCAGGATTTAATTTCAGCTAAGCAGGAAGTGAGGGAGGAAGGAGGAAGTGAAGAATTAGGTGCAGTGGATAAGAAGAGCTGGGTGTCGTCGGCAAAACAATGGAAGTGAATGTTAAATTTACGGAAGATATTGCCATGGGGGAGAAGGAAGATGATGAAAAGAAGGGGCCCCAGGACAGAGCCTTGGGGCACACCTGAAGTGTGGAGGAGTGGGATCTGAATGACTTAAGTTGGATGAACTGAGTGTGGCCAGAGAGATATGACTGAAACCAAGCGAGAGGTGTATGGGTGATGCCAATGAATGAAAGTCTGCGGAGGATGCTTTGGGAGATAGTATCAAACGCCGCACTAAGATCGAGGAGGATGAGAGAAAGTAAACCATAATCTGCTGTCATGAGAAGAGTGTTAGTGATTCTAAGGAAAGCAGATTCTGTGCAGTGACCGGGGCAGAAACCAGACTGGAACTGTTCATATAGACTGTTTTAGGTTAAATGGAGGTGGAGTTGAGAAGCAACTGTTTTTCCAGAATTTTGGAGATGAATGGAAGGTTAGAAATAGAGCGAAGATTATTGAAAATATTTGGATCCAATCCAGGCTTTTTAAGGATCAGAGTGACAACTGCAGTTTTGAAAATAGTTGGAACAGGTCCTGAAGAAAGAGAAGAGTGAATAATGGCAGAAATGAAAGAGAGAAGTGAAAAAAGGCAAGAGAGGATCCAAAGAACACCTGGAGGCCTTGGATCTCAGAATGAGTTTGGCTGTTTCAGAGGCAGGAAGAAGCTGAAAGACAGAAAAAGGCTGACTGAGGGGAGAAGGTTCAGAGGAGGGAGAAAAAGGAGAGACAGGACAAAGTTGCTGATGAATTTTTCTGATTCTATCATTAAAAAAGAACAAGAATTACAGGTGTCATCTGAACAGAAGTGAGAGGGAAGAGAGTCAGGGGGATGAAAAGTATTGTTTAACAATGAAAACAGGATCTTGCTGTATCATGTATGTTACTACCTTATCATCGTAATTCATCTCAGTGTTACTCCCTACATGTGCGATAACCTGTCACACAACCTCTGCTGTATATGTTATGTGCACTAAAGCAACTACCTGTGAAATAGATGAGACAAATCACAAGAACATCAATTTTTTTTATCTGCCAAAACGAGAGACTTTAAAAAATTTCAGAGTCATCGTGTTTACTATATTTCTTTTGGACCTTGTAACAATTATATTTCTTTTTGGTACTTTTGTACTTTTATTGCATGCTTTACTATTTCTTGTTATTTTCTTAGCAAGTCAAATTGGTTCTTCTCATCCTGAATATTTAATTGCACTGCTGACCTTGTGTTAACCTGCATATGACAAAACAAAACACAACACTCTTAGCAACTGCCAAGTAATTTGACCTGATTCAGCTGACCCAGGTGGGACTTGAACCCACAATCTCCAGCTCCAGAGGGTGATACCATTAGGCCACTGGGCCCAGTTCTGTATCAGCTGTAAACATCTAACGGTCCTTACAAAATTGTTTTGAAAAAAAAAACAAAAACATAATTGCCCCTTTTTCATGGTGGTGGTCTTTTTATATTATAAAAAATATATAATAATATTAATGTTAAAATATTTATAGTTATTATAAAAAACTCAACGTGAGTGCTCTCACATGACCAGTGTAAAACTTACTGTGCTTTCTGCCAAGAGTCAGTGAGCCAGCACCGTTGAACTCAGCACCAGATGTCAGGTTAAAATGCTCCTTGTCATTTTGGTCAATCTGAAAGGAAATTAAAGGTTTCAGTTCAAAACATAGCAAAATCACAAATTATTAAATACTTCTACTACAAATAAAACAAACAATGACTCTCTGAAACTTTTATAAGTCTCATATTTTGGCAGATGAAAACATTCTGTCCTTTTGATTTGTCATCAATGCACAGTCTAATACTGAATTATCTAATCTTATTACTAATTTATTTTATCCTATAACTAAATGGTCTAATCCTATGAATTATCTAATCCTATAACCTTGAGATTTTGAAGACTTGTGATCTGAAATGTGAGAAAAAGTTAATTTGTGCTTTCAAGCTGCTAAGCTCATGCAGTGGTTTGTTCTTGCAGCCTGTTGTTGATCATGCTGGTTGTTCAGAAGGACTTTCAGAGAAGCTCCAGGCTGATTCAAGATTCAGAAATAAAGAATCCTATGTATTTAAATGAAAAGTTACCTGCAGAGTGACAGTGTCGGCCAGCCTGTGGATGGTAATATCATGCAGCTGCTGGTTGGCGAGGTTCTTCACTTTGCTCCTCAGGATCTCTGCGTCTTTGCTGCTGTCCAGCCTGTACCTCACCTCCAGCATGTCTGCACTCAAACAAACCAAAATAAGCTACATATTGTTATATTTAAACACAATATGAGTTACATTTTGGAGAAACATTTACCGGTAGTGAACCAAGGACTTAATGATGAAGACAATAAAGTTATAAACTAAAATCTTAGTTTAAATGATAATCGTTGAAAACAAGACTATAAGTAAAATATTAAAAAAAACATACACACGTTTATATAAAACATAAGCTTATTTCATGTTTTTAAATATGCATACCAATTGTTTATTTCCTTAAGCCCCCCTTTTTTTTTTTTTTTTACAAAAAATGGGGATTGCTAAATGCTTTCAAATGTTTTTAAAGTTGAGAAATTACTTAAAACGGTGGATCTGTTTAGTTTTAGCACTACTCGTTTTTTTTTATAAATCTATAAAAATTTCACCATTAGTTTTATATCAAATAAAGGATGTATTCACACTGTAAAATTTTCTATTACTCACTAATTCCTGTACTGTTAATTATTTTTAACAAATAATTACCACTTGTCTCAGTTCAAGTGTGTTCACATGGCAATGATGGCTATAATTAACAAACCAGAGGAGGTGATTCTAGAGCTGATAAACATCTGTACTCATCACCTTTTAGCAGTTGTTAACAGCAGCTTTGCAAGTTTTACTTTTCAAGTCGCGACATTTCAAATTAAAGATTTACTTCAAGTGTTTTCAAACTCAAATTTGTTCAAAGATGTTCAAACATTTTTTTTTTCACTGAATGCTTTAATGTGCAAAATCAGGTAAATTATGCCACCTGCTCTCAGCTGCAATATAACACAAGTTTGTTTCTTCCAGTAATTATAAATGACGATTTTTATTTTTTAGCTAATCACCTGACAGAAACTACAGCATATTAACGCCAGGCTTTAATTTAATTGGCAATAAAACAGCAGACTATTACACTGTTATTACTGTTTACAGACTATTACACTGTTATTACTGTCTACATACTATTACACTGTTATTACTGTCGTAGAGGGATATGGGGTTGGATATATATATTGTAAATTATCAGTTATGAGTTAAGCTCATACGATATGCATTTATTATGCAAATAACCTCGTTGCGGGCACCACCTCTCTTTTTTTAGAGGAAAAATCAGTCTTTAACCCCAAAAATAAATGTAAACTGAAACGTGAATTATTTTCTCGTGTTTAAAAGGCATAACATCAGTTAATACACACAGATATGCCAAAATAATCACAAATTTAGTTGATTTCATGTATTTTATTACCAAAATAATAATCTGTGATATATCCGTTGAAGATTATGAATAACAAAACAAATGAATAACGAAATAGCTTTGCATCAAAGGTTTAGTTGGTTATTCAAATCAGTGAAACTTAAAAAGGCAGAATTTTTTTGGACTGTTCTGTTTGTGGAGTAATTACATTTGTGTCTAAATGAGCTGTAGTTTGTAAAACAAGATTATTGTGATGTATGATCACCAGAAAGTGCGTTGAAGGTCTCTTGTCCTACCAGAATGAGATGGTCAGAATTGTCCAAGAGCTGCTTAAAAAATGGTACCAGTCCAGATGTTCTGGTGACTGAGAGGCTGATTTTTCCTCAAAGTTCACCTGTCATCTTAGAGGGACGAGGGTCCATATGGGAGTCAGCTGGGATTTTTCCACTCTGCGGTGCGATGGCTCTGGTTCGGGCAAGTTCTCTTGTCCTGAGACGTTGGCAGAAAAGGCTGCTTCTCTCGTTCTCTTCCTTCCTAGGATATCTCACTAGGAGGAAGTTTTTCTCTGAAGTTTGCTCGAAGTTCAGTGCTTGAAGAAGAAGTGGTGAAGAAGATGTGATGTAGAAGTAGAAGAGTAGAAGAAGTAACTTAACTTAACTGTCTGTGTTTTACAGATTGACTTTGGTCCACCTTTCGGAAGAGGGGTGGTCCTAACTCTTTGTCATGTTTGATAAAATCTAATGTCCATTTTCTCTGTCTGCCTTTAAAAGTCACTCTTCTTTTTAAAAGAGGAAAACATAAGACAAGTGATTATCTTAAAGAGAGATTACTTAAACAGACATTTTCATAAACAAACATTCAGTTCTGAAGCTTTTGAAATAACATGCATTGTTCATCAAAAGGTGTCGCTGTTCATCTTCTGAAAAGAAAATGTCATTTTAAACAAAGAGTTCTTTAAAATGTTATCTCCATGGGAACCCATCCTAGGAGTAATACTCCTTTCTTTTGATAAAAGTTAATCTCAGCAGATGTTTCACTTTGAGGTCAGTTGAACCAAACTCATTAAACGACCTGTATGTTTCATGGGAAATGGGTTCATATTGAAAGTGAAGTTTCAGCACAGTAACAGTTTTTTTTATTATTATTACAGTTTCATTGGTGTCAACTAAGTTAGTGCTGAATTGAACACCTGTAAAGCAAAATTTGTTTGTTCCAAAGGGAATAGATGCATCTTATTATAAACATTTTAAAACACAAAACACATGAATGATGGTTTTTTTTTAGATGAGGTGAACTGTTTCTGAGGTGGTGTTCCCCTACACTGTCTAGAGACTATTACACTGTCATTACTGTTTACAAAACTATTACACTGTTATTACTGTCTACAGATTGTTACATCGTCATTACTGTCTACAGACTATTACACCATTATTCTGTCTACACACTATTACACCATGATTACTGTCTACAGACTGTTACATTGTCATTACTGTCTACAGACTATTACATTGTGATTACTGCCTAAAGACTATTACACCGACATTACTGCCTACAGACTATTACACCGTCGTTACTGTCTACATACTATTACACCGTCATTACTGCCTACATACTATTACACCGTCATTACTGTCTACATACTATTACACTGTCATTACTGCCTACATACTATTACACCGTCATTACTGCCTACATACTAGGGCATTACCAGAGTACTCGAGTAATCTACACATCGATTGCTAGGACATCTATCGAGGTTAAAAATGTTACGTTGAGTGTCCATAGTGACGTTATATTTTGTGACCACCGTATGACTGTAGGGGGCGGTGTTGCACTGTTGCAGGTCACAGAGTATGGTGTAACACCGGGTAAAATCCACCGAACCAGAACCAGTTTCAGTTTAAGTTTCGTTGTTGATGTGCTGCATGTTTCTTCACGTTTGCAGTTTAATAATAATAACTAATAGTTTAGTTTTTCCCATAGGCGTCGCAACCATTATATGTAAAGGGGACAGGTCCCCCCCCACAAAAAAAAAAACTTTCAGTTGGACCCCCCCCCCCCCCCCCATTTTTACTATGAAACATTAGTTCAGGCAGCGCAGTTTCACTTTCTTCGTGAACGAATCCATTCCACTTGATTAATAGGAGAATACTCAATCTAATAAAACTCCACTCCAGGTTTTCCTGGTTACCTCCAGGTTACCTCCACCTCTCCACACAGAGCAGAAACTGTGCAGGCAGCCACTGCTGAGTCTCCTGCTTCGGTAGAAAACGCGCACAGGTGCAGGAGATGGAGACACCTCTGTGTTGCTCACTCGTCAGTTTAGCAGCTTAGTGTGGGCAGTTGTTGACCAAGGGGTTGATCATCAACATATATTCATGTTAGGAGGAGAGAAGAGGAGTGTTGCGTCTGTAGCATGTTCTCTTAGCAGTAACTGTGACACTGTCAGACGCTGCAGGTGTGAGACGCTGTGTGTTCAGGTGCATTAAAGTTGAAATGTCTTTAAAACCCCACACCTTATTGTCCTCAAGCTTCATGAGAACCATCATTTAGATGAGTCATGTTGAAAACAATTAAAAATGTCTAGTGGTGATGTTTTTTATTTCTCTATAAACACAAATAGTGCAGATCTGACGCTCTGTACTAAAGTGTATTAAAGTTAAAATGTCTCTAAAACCCACTGCTGAATGTACACAAACTTGATGAGAAATATGCTTTAAATTTGTGGAATTAAAGCAAATCTAGGTGAAATGTTGCTTTTTTTGTACATTAGTTTACATTTCTTTTGCGCACATGCAAGCGCGCACACACCTACACACAACGTTGTGTCCCCCCCACATTACGGATGCTTCTGACATCCTTGGTTTATCCTGTGACTTATTTGCAGTATGATAAATGGTAGGAGCATAATATACATTCCCAATGTTTTGTTGGTCCTTTTTTTTTGTAAATAACTACCTTTTTTGTGGTTTAATTTATTTATTTATTTATGTAACTTGAGATCTATGACCTCATCAAATACTCGAGTTCTACTCGGGTTTTATTATGTTAATGTCAAGTTTTAAAATAATTTACTCATTCAACCCCTACAACATACTAGTACATCGTCATTACTCTCTACATACTATTACACCGTCATTACAGCCTACATACTATTACACCGTCATTACTGTCTACATACTATTACACCGTCATTAGTGTCTACAGACTATTACACCATAATTCTGTAGACACACTATTACACCGGTATTATTGCCTACATACGATTACACCGTCATTACTGCCTATATACTATTTCACGTCACTATTGTCTACAGAATATCGCACCGTCATTACTGTCTACAGACTGTTACATCGTCATTACTGTCTACATACTATAACACCGTCATTACTGCCTACATACTATTACATGTCACTACTGTCTAC